CCTCTGGTGACCTGACCTTTGACCTGACCCAAAAAATGACCGAACTGTTTTCGTCCTTATTTTTGACGTTCTTTCGATTGCCGCTTACCGCGTGTCGCTACGTGGCCCAGGAGCCGAGTTAGAAGGGGGGGGGTGTTCAAACACCCCCGCGGCCCGGCGCGGAATCTCAGAGCACCGGCCCGGCGCGGGTGTTAGAGAATAGCTCACCGGCGCTATGGACGGTCCGTCCTCTACCTCCCGCATCACCTCGGCAAGACCTCGTCCGAAAGGTCCGCCCGCGCCGGTTCTCAAGGGCTTCTGTATCCGGAGACCGATAAGGGTCGCAGCAGCAGGTTCATGTGTAAATGCCCACGACCAAAGGCCACATCAGCGTACCTGCGATACTATACGCAGTCAGGGTTGCCACGTAGTTAAACGTATTAACAGTTGTTTCCGGTAATAGAAAATGAGATCAGTCGATTAAGAATCCCAACAAGAAATAGACGAAGAACAGCGCATTTGTTTTCGGTCATGCATTTATTGATGCAATTACAATGAACATTCCTTAACTTTGGGACTAAACTTCGCGAGCTAGCAAAATTATACAATAAGTGTTACTTTCGAGAGGAGATAAACGATGCTTCTACAGACTACATACAGGGTGTCTCAAAAGTTCGTTTACAGGTACCAGCCATGCTTTTTTGCCAATAATTCTGAATCAACAAGAAATTAACAGTCGAAATTTTGCATGGGCATTGGTGACAACCTTCCTCAAGCAGTCTCATTGTTTTCAAGTGTATTCGACCCTTCATGAGCTCACAAAAAGGGTTCACCTCTGACCATGGGTCAGGCACGAAAATGTAGGTTGCAAAGTCGGGTATGTTGTGAAACTCTCTGTTTCAGGAGTAATGGGAATGGTTAAGTCGGAAATGACACATGGCTAAGTGTCGGCGAGGATGAGTGCAACATGATGATCATTTCATAAAAACGGTGGCTAAAATTTTTGAAGGACGAAACCATGCGAGACTAACGGCGTTTTGAACGACCCTCGCACGGCAGCAGACTCGTGTTCCGGGAAGGCAGCTGAAAATGCGGTCATAACTATTGAAAACTGGCAAGAAGCTCACAGACAGAGGTTACCCATTTTCAAAAAGTGCAGGTCATCGTAAAATAAAGGCAAATTATAATTTAAAATTGTTTATAATATCTATAACGCTAATTTTTGGGGACAATAACACAAAAATCGTCAATGCCAAGGACACCTGACCCTCCAAAAGTGTCAGTTATTGTAAAATTTTATCTAACGAAGTTTCAAGAGGCAGATCTGCAGCGAATAATTTTCTTTTAAACACAAAATCCCGATAAAACCACACGATGGACAGGTTTGGGCCGTTTACAAAGCAGAACCTCTCCCGAGGAAAGCACTCCGCAACCGAGCGAAGGTCTTGGCATGGGGAATGACGAGCGCTTGGAATTTGCAAAATTTGCACAATGTGTCTGAGAAACAGACGTCCGACACATTCTGCTACCATATGATGCGAAAAAATTTACTCCTGGCACTTCCCGTTTGTTCAGGACTGGGGTCGTTTTAAAAAGGAAAATGGCGCTTGGGATGTCGGCGCCAGTCATTCATGAAGGAGTTAGCGCCAGAGAATGCCTACAAAATACTCATGAATGGTGTTGATGCAAACTTCGACTTTCAGGGAAAATCAGATGTTGCCAGGGAGCTAGTCAAACCTAAATCCGACGCAGAAACTGCAGGAGATTCCCCTGCAAGAGCTTGAAAGCTGGTAACCTTTTATCAGCCTCCGGCAGCTGACGGAGCAACAAAAATCGGTATGGGCAAATATTTTTGGAGATACAGCAAAGGGGTTGGTTTCTAACCTTCTTAATCAGTTGTCAAAGCATGCATATTTGTCTAGTGTACACACAGACACCAAAACCTTATACTTTTGGCCGGTTCTTATATGCTTTATTGGCATGGGAAATGTGTAAGCGAACTTTTGAGACACCCTGTAGGACCACAGCGCAACAGCCAACGGAATCACACTGAACAGCGTTAAGTTCCCACAACATACTGAGCTTCTCCAACACCTCGCAAACCAAAAGCTCTGACTGAGCCTTTCTGTGTTTGTCCCCGTTAGATAACGGTATGGCTCATGAAAAAGCCGCGATTGGTAATCTTCTTTACGTTATTCCTCTCAGAAACCTATCACGCACTTCATGCATACACATATGCAGCTCTTGTAGAGACTCTCGGACTTTGGCACCCTTTTGGCACCCCCTTTGGAAATGGCTGTATCCGCCTCTGGACATAACTAATGTAGCCACAGTGGAAATTCTAGGTACTAATGGATATTTAGACCCACCAATATTTTTTTCAGCTCCTACACCCATGCTATCTAGCAATAAAATATTATGCAAACACTTCTTATATACCCATGCAAACCCACCACTGTCCAACCGCTCACCAGTGTGTTGACCCCTGACCCCACTGGAGTGACTGGCGTCTGGCGGTCTGCTGTTGACGGTTTGTTTACTTGGTTCAAGGTTTCAATAAATCGCGTTATTTTTTTTTTTTGTAGCAGTAGCAGTAGTAGTACTGCTGATGGATGATGGACTGACATTCATGGGGCGGAGGACTTTTTATCAGCTCACAACTTAATATCACGAATATGTCAACCTTCTAGTCCTCCATTTATTTCACATTTTCTTTTCATACACCATATTTTTAGTATTCAAGTTGTAGTTTTTTTAGGGGGGGGCAAAAAGATATGTTTGCCCAGAGGTTTTCCGTTTAGGGGGGGCAATTGCCCATTTTGCCCCAACGTAGATCCGCCACTGGACATTCGGGTATGCGTTTCACCGCTGCTGTGTGGTTACGGAGGTGTAAGCGTGCAGCGCACAATTGCACACTGCACAGTGCACATGCACATTACACATGAACTGCTAGTCATGACGATGCGAAGAAGAATTGGGTACACATTTGACTTAGTGTTAACCCTATTAGTGGCAGGGGGGGGGTTGTTTTCATCCACCCCTCAGGTTTTTCGGGAATATCTCCGAAACCGCTGAAGCTACGATGCTGAAATTTGCTGACTTTTCCTAAAACTAAATTGGGCACACTCCCTGAAAATTTCAAGTTCATAACTTTACCAAGGGCGGCTCCAGAGCACTGGGAATTGGAGGTCCTATTCGTGAAGCGAGTCATTTGGGCGAAGATCACGATGCTGCACCAGTTTTACGAACAGTGAATGAAATGTATCATGTGATAACATATACAAAGTTATTGTGCATCCTCTTTTGACACGTTTTTGCTATAATAGGCGGATCCAGGCGTCCAAAAAGGGGGTTATGTTTTACCTCCCAACATAGGTGCCCTGACACCGCCTATGCATGACCAATACAATTGTAGTCGTTCTCTCATAAGAAAATTGTAACATAACAAGACCATTACCACCCTTTTTAGATACAGTACCAACAAAAACCTTATTTACTATACTTTTTGTGTACCCCCAATCTCAATGATCTGTATCCGCATATGATTTTTGAAAATGCATATTTTTAGGATCCATGTGAATTCCTGTTTCATTCTCTATCGATCGGCAAAAGTTGCGTTAAGATTGGTTCAGAAACCTGGCCGTGATAAACAGTCTAAAATGTATCTGCAATTTGCCCGTTTTTACCCCCCTCTACCCCCCTATTGACATTTTTTAATTTTTATTTTTTAGAAATATAGATCACGTTCAGCGGAATCGAATGCCGTTTGAATTTTGAAAATCGGCCCGTTAGATCTCGAGATATCAAGGGGGGGGGGGTCGTAAACAGCCCCCCTGCCACTAATAGGGGTAGCCAGGAGCCTGCCACTAATAGGGTTAAATGGTGGTGTATATTACTGCTGAGTGCTGGGTGAGTGCGTGTATGTGTATCGGTGAGCCGGACTTTGTCCTCACTGACCGTCTGACGATCCCTCAGCTCCAGTGGCCTCCGCTGAAAGTATCCGACTGACCTGGTGTGTCCCTCCCTCAGGTCTGTCTGGTACTGTACCCTGCACTCCCCACTGACCTGGTGTGTCCGTCCCTCAGGTCTGACCTGGCAGTATCCCACTGACCTGGTCTGTCCCTCCCTCAGGTCTGGTACTGTACTGTCCGCTGCCCTCCCCACTGACCTGGTCTTTCCCTCCCTCAGGTCTGACCTGGCAGTATCCCACTGACCTGGTCTGTCCCTCCCTCAGGTCTGGTACTGTACTGTCCGCTGCCCTCCCCACTGACCTGGTGTGTCCGTCCCTCAGGTCTGACCTGGCAGTATCCCACTGACCTGGTGTGTCCGTCCCTCAGGTCTGTCTGGTACTGTACCCTGCACTCCCCACTGACCTGCTCTGTCCGTCCCTCAGGTCTGACCTGGCAGTATCCCACTGACCTGGTGTGTCCCTCCCTCAGGTCTGGTACTGTACTGTCCCCCGCCCTCCCCACTGACCTGGTGTGTCCGTCCCTCAGGTCTGACCTGGCAGTATCCCACTGACCTGGTGTGTCCGTCCCTCAGGTCTGGTACTGTACTGTCCGCTGCCCTCCCCACTGACCTGCTCTGTCCCTCCCTCAGGTCTGGTACTGTACTGTCCCCTGCCCTCGCCACTGACCTGGTCTTTCCCTCCCTCAGGTCTGACCTGGCAGCATCCCACTGACCTGGTGTGTCCGTCCCTCAGGTCTGGTACTGTACTGTCCCCTGCGCTCCCCACTGACCTGCTCTGTCCGTCCCTCAGGTCTGGTACTGTACTGTCCACTGCCCTCCCCACTGACCTGGGGCCGTATTCACGTCGACTTCGTAAGTCGATTTTCTTTCGTAAGTGTAATTTGGTATTCACGTCGATACTTCTTAAGTTTTTATCGACGGAGTTCACGTGATTAAAAAAATTTACTTAAGAAGTAGGTCAAACTTAAGAAAATTCTTACGAAAACGATCGACGTGAATACGGCCCCTGGTGTGTCCGTCCCTCAGGTCTGACCTGGCAGTATCCCACTGACCTGGTGTGTCCGTCCCTCAGCTCCAGGTAGGCCCGGGTCAGCACCAGCAGCGGGTGCTCCACGATGTGCCAGGCCATGCCGGCGGCCCCTCTGTCTCCTCCGTCCTCTGCCTCCGGCATGGAGAAGTAGTTATCCCGGTCTATCCGGATCTCTGTCGGATACGGGGATACAGACGTCAGACTGCAGAGCGGGGGAACCCCGAGCTGTGCGCAGTGGACTAGGTGAAGTGGACTGCAGGGTGCAGTGTGTTAACTCCGGTGGGTTAAGTGAGGTGGGTTGGGGCTGGTGGGCTGGGGTTAGTTGGACTGGGTGCACTTAGCTGGGTGCAGTGAGATGAGCACAGAGCACCCAGTAATGTTAAGCTGATCTCACTCGGCCGGGTGCAGCGGGTCAGTTTAACGGTCAGCCCGGGAGAGGAAGTGTTACACTCTGACCCCATGGGACGCAGAGACAGCAACAAACATCTGGCGGCATCACCACCATTCATCACACACCAGCCGACCGACCGAACTGGGTGCAGAGTGCAGACTGCAGCCGGTCCGCGCAGGCCGTGATTTAACGGCGCTGCAACAGAATGCTCGGCTCGTGATAAACAACACGGAAATATATGTGAGCCGCCGTGGTCTGCACCAGCATAGTAGTTAATTGTGCCATATATTTCGAACCCCATTGTTAAAACAAGTGTTGGTCGCCCACACAGAAATTGCGCCGGGCTGCATCACAGGCCATGTTTTGAGGTTGGCATGAATTTCTCAGCATTGCATGGCCATGCACTCCTTCTCTTGTGTTGCACGGTGTCCCCGATATGGAGCGGTGCCCCTGCAGTTGCCTCTCCCGCCGGACAGATATATGTGCGACTCAGCCGACCTTTTTAGTCCCCGGGTTCCTCCCCAATGATCCCGGTGAACCCTCAGTGATTCAAGTGACCTCAGATAGCCCCAGTGACTCCTCATGACCTCAGTGATCTCTGACAGTGACAGGTACCGCTGTCTTCACTGCAGCAGTAACAGATGACGTTCCTAATGTGGAGATCTTACAGACCGCGGCCTCACACGATATACCTAGGTACTCAGCACGCAACGTGCGCCATCTGGCAAATTGCTATAATTAGAACGAGCAGTAGATTTAAACGCAGGATAGTGACTTGATGGCAATTTATAGCTCATTAGAACTGCGCATGAATGATATGCAGCTCGTCCTATCTTCATAAATCAACTGCAGCAGAGCAAGAGTTACGGAATTGAATTCATAGCCACTCATGCGTGGTAGGTAAGGACTTAGTAGGCCACTCCACCTGATCAGATGTGAAATAATGCACCCGTTTCAAGTCAACTTCAAGTGTCCACATGACTACCAATAGAATCAACGACCGGAATATTACAGTGGAAGAGAAGGGCCTCATTTTAGTCCCAATAAGAGGCCTATAAAATTGATGGAACGGCTTCCCTCTACCTCGTCCCGTCCTTAGGTCCCGAAATGAACAGTCGTGACTTGTCCGTCTGTCCTGTCCGTCTGTCCGTTTCGCCGTCTCTCTCTCTCTCTCTCTCTCTCTCTCTCTCTCTCTCTCTCTCTCTCTCTCTCTCTCTCTCTCTCTCTCTCTCTCTCTCTCTCTCTTTCCCTCACTCTCTCTCTCTTTCCCTCACTCTCTCTCTCTATCTCTCTCCCTCTCTCTCTCTCTCTATCTCTCTTTCCCTCACTCTCTCTCTCTCCACTCACTCTCTCTCCCCCTCACTCTCTCTCTCCCCCTCACTCTCTCTCTCCCTCACTCTCTCACTCTCTCTCTCTCTCTCCCTCTCTCTCTCTCTCTCTCTCTCTCTCTCTCTCTCTCTCTCTCTCGCTCCCCTACCTGTGTTACTGTTCTCGTCAGCCAGCCGCTCCAGGTTGTCCGTCATGTGTGTGTCCATGGTGAGCGGATGAGCACACCAGGCGAGTTGACCCCGCTGTCGGCGCAGGGCAGACTCCAGCTTTGACTGCCTGGAAGGTGAGACGGAAGGGTAAACAGCTCAGTCAACTACTGTAGAAGGTCGGACTATATAGATAAAGCAAACTAGCGTCTGCCTTTCATTCATCTAAAATGTTACTTTGTGTAGTTGGGCAAATGAGATATTTCAACAGCGTTTGACATAATGAATTCGGGCGATGCATTAGGAAAATACGCAGGCATGCAGTTAAAAAGCGCTTCGGAATAATTTAAGATATCAGGCGTCTCAATTAGTTATACCATGGAGTGCACATTATGACGCCTGTAGATAAAACACGAGCTGCATATATAACGCAGAAAAATAATAGACGGTCAGAAGTGGAATGACCATTGTGCGTGTTACGGGTACATTTTCTGAACACGGTATACTGACTTGTGCTGCAGGGTCTCGCCGTCCTTCTCCTTCCTCTCGCAGTGAGCTCGGAGGGCGAGCACGCGCGCCTCGAGCGCCTCCTTCAGCGAGAGATCCGGGGGACTATACGGGGAGCGGGCGCCGGCGGAGGAGAAGGTGGGCTGCAGGTGCGCCCGACTGAAACACGGCACCGGCAGCGGTCACAGATACGTCACTGAACGGGGGGAGGGGCGGGGCTGACCGCCCGACTGAAACACGGCACCGGCAGCGGTCACAGATACGTCACTGAACGGGGGGAGGGGCGGGGCTGACCGCCCGACTGAAACACGGCACCGGCAGCGGTCACAGATACGTCACTGAACGGGGGGAGGGGCGGGCTGACCGGGTTTCAATTGACTATCGTACCGGTTGACAGTTTCAAATAAATGTGCCATGAAGTCAAGGTCTTCTAATAGACTGTGACTACGCAACATGCAGCTGGATTTAACTGCATTATTGTATGCAAATATAGCATAGTCTACAATTAGCAACAGAAGGTGCCGCCCATTGCGATGTCATTAGTAAGGACACATGCACTCAGACGATAATAATGTCACACTACTGTCAACACTAACGTTTATATCTACAGGGTGTCCCATAAGTTCGTTCTCACCTTTTATTTGCATGTAAAACATAGTACATTGCGTTTTGATATGTTTATAACCCCTCAATGTGCTCCCCATTTCATAGGCAAACACTTGAATACATGCTGCGACATGCCAACCGGCATGTTTGGCAGCATAGCAGGCTTGAAGTTAGCCCAGACGGACTTGGCATGCGCCGTGAGCTCCTCAATGCTGGAACACCGCTTCTCTTCGACGAGCCTCGATTTCAATATTCCCAACACATTTTTATGAAATTTGGATCCCATGAGTTGCCTGGGATGTGATCTTGCCACACACGCCTATCACAGTCTCCTGGCACTGCTTTTATGCTTTGCTTGACCTCTGCACTGATGCACTGTCTTGCTTGAAGATGGGCCTACGACCTCCCGGATGCCATTTTCTACTAAAAAAATGTTGTCATACTTGCGGTTCAAGTTAAGCTAGAAAGCTGAAACTCCTCCTAGATCTTCTTGGAGAAGCATTCTGCGTCCCAAGACTGTTCCTGGAGCATCATTCGCAACGTGATCAGTGTCTGGACGCATATTACCCCACATTACCGTGACCCTGGCCTTTTGCATAGGAATAAAGCTGGATGATACAAAGGCCTTTTCCGTCGCCCATATGGGACCGTTTTGGGGTTTGGACGGGTGTTTTATCTCGAGCACGGACTAGGTAGTCCAGATGACCACATTGATGTCATCGACCCTCCAGTTTTTTTAGCCTCAGGCATAACGAAACACATGTTTGGCCATTTTAAGACGTTTTTGACTGTTTTTAGCCCTCCGGTAAGTAGAGCTTAACCCGCGCCCCGCTGGGGGGGGGGGGCAGAATCTGCCCCCCCTCCCGTTTTTCGCCAATAACTTCTAAACGCGTTACGCCAGCGACGTCAAACTTTTAGTACCTTATCATACATCAATTTGACACGTTCCCTGAAAATTTGAGCGAAATCCGTCGGAAAATTTTTGAGAAATTGACGTTTTAGTGACGTCATGTTCGCCATTTTCGCCTCAAAAACGGCAAAATTTCAAACGCCGCTAACATCTTCATTTTTAAAGGAATCAAGACGTAACAAAAAAGGTTATACGTGATTCTACTTTGTCTATCAAATGGCTATCTCGGTTTTTTGAAAATTTTGGATTTTGGCCAAAATTTTTCCAAAAAACTGACTTTTTTGGGAAATTATTTATAAAATCCAAAATTTTGAGTTTATCGAAAAAACCGGAATATATGTCAAAGAAGTGGTCTATGTGCATCTACATACCAATTTTTAGAAGAATCAGTTCAAAAATGTGGGAGTTATTCAAAATGTTATGACGTCACGACACACAAAATTTTTGAAAAATGATTTTTTTGGAAGTTCTAGACCTCGTACGGAAACAAAAATAGCACCATTCGATTCGCCGTGAAAAACTGCATCGGATAGACACCTTTTTAGGCCTTTACAACCAACTTCAAAATTTGACCTCACTTGACCTGACCTTGACCTGACCTCGACCTGAAATTCATCCAGAGGTGGTCCATATCACTTATTGAGTGTGCCTATTGAATTCCATGAGTAAAATGACCCATAAAACATGTGTCGCACATGCCCTTTTCTATATTTTGTTTTTGGTGACCTGACCTGACCTGACCTGACCTTGACCTTGACCTTTGAATGACATTGTGTGCAACGAATATTGTCTTGGTAGTCTAAGAACACGTTTTGGGCAATCAGTCTCAGTCCATTCTTCGGCAACTACGGTGCAAGGCCGATACTGTAGAAACTTGCATTTTGTACCCTTGACCTGACCTTGACCTGACCTCTGACCTACTTAAGCAAAAAAAAAATGGGCTCTTAAGATCCGCCTTGTTGAGAGCTTTCGATTGCCGTTTTCCCCGTCTTTCTACGACCATCGGTTCGGAAGTTAGACAGGGGGGGCAGAATCTGCCCCCCCCCCCCAGCAGGGCGCGTATGGCAGAATAGCCCAGCGGGGCGCGGGTTAAGTCACCTTGAGTTAGGTACCCCGAAATGATACTCTTAGACAGCTGGTAATACATCCTGGAAAGCCTGTTACCAACTTTCTAACGCTAAGACCTTTTTGACGGCCATTTTGGCGCCACACAGTTTTGGCCACATGGCTCACTCGTGAAAGCTGACAAAAAAAGAGCATAAACTTGCAGCGATTGACTCCCGACAAATCATCGGCGTCACTTGTTGACTGTGCGTCCAGTTAGCGACAGACATTGGCTACATACTGGATGGCCTCAATCACCCTCAACCGTCGTGAATGGCCCAGTGCGGACTAAATACCGAGACGTTCCCGTATCGGAGACCTCTATGTTGCGGCGTAAGCCGTCTCCACAGGAAGCGAACTCTCTGGCAAAAAATATTTTGTCTAGACGAATTAGTTACCGTGGAGCACATTCACAGTTGCCATGGCAACCCCAAAAGCTCAGTTTCAAAATAAATTAAGCGTGGCTTTAAATAAGAGAGCCTCTTAAAGAAAAATTTAGGTGAGAAGGAACTTATGGGACACCCTGTACTTGGCTATGGACTTGAAAGAGCTGCGCCAGGATTGTTGAGTGCCTGCAAGTATTAACGCGATACCATACGATGCCTGCCGACACACGGTATTGACATTACAGTGACGGTGCTAACATCCCACACGGCACTAACATTACAGTGACGGCATCCTCTGAGGGCTCCGTTTGCCTGCCGCTCAGCAGACAGACGGCCAGGAACGCTGCGCCGGCCAGCAGGCCCAGCGAGCGGCCTTTTCGGCACTGGTAGACGGCCATCGCCCGGCCGAGTTGTCCCGGCCGAGCTGTCCCGGCTCGATCTGTCCCGGCTCGAGCTGTCCCGGCTGTCCCAGCCGCCCGGAGCTGGAAACACAGAGCGGTTACCGAGTCAGGGGCAGATCCGGACCGCTCTGCACGGCGCCCGACGGCCGCTCCGACAGCCGCCAGATGACCCATCCGTCACCTGCACGGGAGGCCGGACACCGCCAGGGTACAGAGCTTGTGCAGGCAGGGCGGGGCGAGGAACACGGCGGAATGGAGCGGCGCACCGATCACGGCGGATAGGAGCGGCGCATGGAACACGACGGGTAGGAGCCTCGCACAGAATACGCGCATTGGAGCAGCGCACGGAAAAAGATGCTGCGCCAGACACGGGGTACAGCGGATGGAGAGGCAGGCGGGAAGGCGTACGGAGACAGAGAGGCGTACGGAGAGACGGAACATGGTACAGGGACCCGCAGTTGCTACTGTACACATATATTACCAATTTAGAATTGTGCTATTATTTGCTAAGTGCTGGCCATTGGAGAAAAGAAATGTAGCGCAAAGTATGGAGGAATACCACATGTTTGCTCCTAGGACGTATGTTTTGTATAATTCCTCTTACCGCAACAGATATTCTTTCAAAACTACAATCGTGCTATTTTTCTGTGCCGGTTGCCTCCCCAGAGCCCGTCCGTGGTATCGCCTATAGCTTCCGTTCCCGCTACGTGAATGAAAGTCACGTGACTACTACGCGTTTGCGCTCAGTACTAACACACCTAGCCCGAGGGCCGGTCCGTAGCGGGGAGGGGTAGAACGCCAGAGCTCCAGCGCAGTGGAGGTGGTGGTGGCCCGTATCATAAAGAGGCAACCGTAAGCAGAACTACAATTGCCGCAGTATGAGATTATGATAAGGTTTTCTTTAGATGTATTGATTGACAAGAAAGTGCAATGCTTATCCGATATAATAAAACGGTGTCCAAGGCCTTGGAAGAACTGTAAAACATATTCAGGAACGTATTAATTTCTGATACAGGCCATGACCTTTCACCTTGCCTCCGGGGAGGACCGCTCAGGAATCCACATACCGAACGAATCGAGGCCTCGCAGCGCGGTGGCAGACGAGGTGGATAAACCATCGCAAGATCTTTCGGTTACTTATGTTTCCAGAAGAAGGGGGGTGGAGGGTGAGGCTCATCAATCTTTTCCTTATTAAGTTATAGCTTACCGAAAAAATGCAACACAAGGCCGTCACGAGATGTAGAAGTGCCTCAGCCACACCAGTTTTGAGTAAACCTAAAGCATTGAAATTCAGGCCAGTGATCCTGAAGCATTATTTTATTTTTGTCGTGCATAAGCTGGGGTGACGTGGGCCAAGTTAGTTGCGAAGAAACGGTTTTAGTTTGAGAACATTTCTGAGGCTAGTCGCGCCAAATAGTATACGTTTGTTGCAAAATATCAAATAGAATGTTGACGTGCTATCCAGATGATGGAATTTATATGACACAAGAAGTCCAAAAGTGGCATCGTTAGTCATCCTGCATACCATATAAATCGATTCGTCACCTCGGTTCGAGCTCTTCTTTTCGCGGATGATCGATTTCGTTTTTTTTTTTTTTTGAGGGGGGTGACAGGTTATGAGCCAGCAACCACCCTCCCCAGTCCCCACAACAGCAATTGTTGACAAATACTGTGATGGCCTAAAATGCCCTCAATTGTGTTACGTAATTTGGGGCTCTCAACTTTGCTTTGTTAAATTTATTTGTCTATTCATTATAAAAGCTGTCAAATTTGCCGTATCATTAAACTTTTATTGAGTTTGTATTTCACACTTATCTAAAATGAAAATTTTTATCACTGGCCTTTTTTATGAATGGATGGTCGCATGAATGAACGAATGAATAGCTCCATTCGAGCATCAGCTGAAATCAATCCTAAAATTTAATCTACCAGTCTGCAACGAAAAGGTTTAAAAACCAGTGCAAGTTAGGTGCAGTTTCTAATCTATGCCGTTTTTTATTAAGTGTCTCATAGCTCCTTAATCTTGAGCCGCTTCTCTCACGATTCATTTTATGTGGTGCTTACATTGTTCAAGAAGTTATAGTATTCGAGCTCGTTGGTCTTAAAAACTGCTATCGAAGTAAATTAAAGTGCTTCGGGCTTCGGCACTTGAAAACCAATCGATATTTAACCCTCGCCCGTATTGGTGTTTTTCCAGCCGCGAACGTATAAGGGGGGGGGGGTCCGTTGGACCCCCCCCTTGCCGTTTCGCCCCTGATCGAGCTAGAGCTTCGCGGAAAAAAACGAGCGTGTTGCCCGTCACGAGAGGAAGCCGATGATACCTAATTTTAAGGTCCTAGGTCATTGGTTGACCTTGCAGGTCAGGTCAATGACCCAAAAGTCGGGAAAATCGGGACCTGTTAAAACGTCGTTAAGTGTGGCTGCTGTGGGGGTTTTCGGGGCGCCGATCACGAATATCATGTTAGTTTTGATCACAGATGATGTCTTTATGCATTTAGTCCAGGTCGGGTGAGGTCAGGTCAGGTCAACCAGTAGGGGTCCTGCCGGGTATTCCTAGTAGGTGTCAACCGCCTCTGACAGCTTCGTAACATGTTACGAAGGTACCAAAACTACTTCGTAAACGTTCATATGGTTACTAAATTCGAATTCAGCTAAAAAAACTGGCCTAGAAACATGTAAAACTCGAAAAAGTGAACCGAGGTCACCAAAGGTCAATGACCTGACCTGACCTTCAGATGACCTTGACACCCACCCTAATGCATGGGGGCAACATCATATCACATGTTTGAACGCTTGAAACCACGAAAAGACTGCAAACGCGCGGCTAATGCGAGCCGACATACGCCGAATCGCGATTCCGGCCAAACATGGTCTCGAAAAGTAGGTCACAGGTCAAAGGTCATTGGGATCAGGGTCATGAAATTTTCAGGGTGGGTGTAAAATTGATCAACGCGAGGGTACTGAAAGTTTCGTTGCGATCGGCCGCTTTTTACGCGAGTTATTCGCGAAAAACCATGGGGGGGTCCGTTCGACCCCCCCCCTATACGGGCGAGGGTTAACCCTCACCCATTTAGGCATTTCTTTTCAGCGTCTTACATGTAGCGGAGGGGCGTAGAAACCTTCAGCCATTCGGCCCTTGATAAAAAGAGCCAGAGCTTCGCTGAAAAATAAAAAAGAGCGAGCTGCTCGTGACGAGAGAAATCCGATGATTTGAGACTCCTGGTCATCACTGACGAGAGAAAGCCAATTATTTTTATGTCCTGGTCAATGCTGAGATCCTAGGTCACTGGTTGACCTCCCAGGTCAGGTTAATAACCCAAAAGCACGGAAAATTGGGTCCTGCTAGAATTTCTACAAGTGAAGTTTGCTGGGACTTGGCTTGCTTCTGACTCCGAATTTACACTTGCTTTGATCAAAGATGATGTATCAAAGCATTTGGGGTAGGACGGGTCACGCCAGATCACCCATTAGGCGTTCCGCCGGCCATCCATATAATGTTAACCAGCTCTGACAGCCTTGCAACATGTTGCATAGGCACTATAACTGATACCTAAGTATGCCTAGTTTTCAAATGCTAAAATGGGTGCTAAATTTCAAACCAACACTTCCTAAAAACCACAGTAAAAAGGTGTAAATTTAAGGAAGTTAACCGAGATCATTTCAAGTAAATGACCTTAACCTGAGTTTCACGTGACCTTGGCACCCACAACAATCAATGAGACAATCACTAGATAGTATATTTCACAATCACATGTTGTCACGTCCCTAATTACGAAACGACTATGGAAACACACAGAAGATGTGCGCTGACTTTCAATTGCTATTCTGGCCTGACATGATCTTGAGAAAAATAATCACAGGTCAAAGGTAATTTGGTTCAGGGATTTACATAAAATTCTCGAAGGAGCAGGGGCGGATCCAAGGGGGGGTCACATGGGTCATGGCCCCCCCCTTGAGGCCCGGGGGCCCAAAGACCTGCCAGGGGCACCACCGGCCTATCAGGGGTATCACAGTCCTGACAGGTGCACCACAGGACCGCCAGGGGCACCCCAGGCCTAGCAGGGACACCACGGGCCTGGTGCCCCTGGGCCCTGACAGGACTGTAACGCCCCTGCAAGGCCGGTGGTGCCCCTGGCAGGCCTGTGGTGTCCATGGCAGGCCTGTGGTGCCCTTGCTAGGCCTCTGGTGCCCCTGACAGGCTTGTAATGCCCCTGGAAGGACTGTGGTGCCCCTGACAGGCCAGTGGTGCCCTTGCTAGGCCTGTGGTGCCCCTGGCAGGCCTCTGGTGCCCCTGACAGGCTTGCGGTGCCCTTGGAAGGACTGTGGTGTCCCTGGGCCCTGACAAGCCTGAGGTGCCCCTGACAGGCCCGTGGTGCCCTTGTTAGGCCTGTGGTGCCCCTGGCAGGCCTCTGGTGCCCTTGCTAGGCCGCTGGTGCCCCTGGCAGGCCTCTGGTGCCCCTGCGCCCGGAGAGGACTGGTGCCCCTGAAAAGTCTGAAGTGCCCCTCGGCAGGCCCGTGGTGCCCCTGACAGGCCCAAGGTGCCCCTGCAAGGCCGGTGGTGCCCCTGGCAGCCCTCTGGTGCCCCTGGCAGGTCTGTGGTGCCCCTGGCAGGTCTGTGGCGCCCCTGGCAGACCTGTGTTGACTGGTGCCCCTGCTAGGTCGCTGGTGCCCCTCACAGACCTGTGGTGCCCCTGGGCCTTGACAAGCCTGAGATGCCTGGCTATGACAGGCTCGTAGTGCCCCTGATAGACCAGTGGTGCCCCTGCTAGGCCGCTGGTGCCCCTCACAGGCCTGCGGTGCCCCTGGAAGGACTGTGGTGCCCCTGCCCCTAGGGGTGCTCATGGGCCCAACAGGCCCGTTGTGCCCCTGACAGGCCTGTAGTGTCCTTGCTAGGCCTGTGGTGCCCCTGCTTCCTGGCGGGCCTGTGGCGCCCCTACAAAGCCATAGGTGCCCCTGACAGGTTTGTGGTGTCCCTGGAAGGACTTTGGTGCCCCTGACAAGCCTGAAGTGTCAAGGACAGACCCTTTAGACGCCAGTGTCAAGTTCGTCGGACTGACAACGATTTGCTTACCTGATAACGT